TAAGTCCAAAAATCTCACCATATACAACCTTGAAGCAGGACAGTCCCACAATATTCCTTTTCCTGTCTCTTGCTTTCACTCACCACCCCCTTCTTTTTGAACATTCACCTACCCGAGAGACATCTTAGCAGTAACTGGCATGTCATGACAAGCTGAATAATCTTAATCTTAATCACAAAATATTCACAGAGACAAATTTGACCACTTTTAACTCTGAGATCTTGAAAATGTAAATGTTAAAAGATAAGAGACACAATGAGCATTTTCTCCATGCTCATAAAATGATTTCTGATGTTATCCATCAGAAATTGTTCCCCAAGGCAGCTCAGTTCCAGAATCATGGCCAAAACTGCCATACAAGACACACAGGGAAAGAATACTGAAGAGACAGTTCAAGAGGTCAGCAGAGGAAGTGCATAGAAGCTTCACAGTGGTGGCAAGTTTCAACCTCAGAGTCAGCCCAGTGCAAACATATCCAAATTATCTTCTTCCTATTTTCTAAAAAACAAAAATGGATTTCAACACGGCCATGTCTCTTCACTTATCTACCATAGCAGACTGCTACAATACCCAATCATTAATGAGTTGCATATTCTCAAAATAATATAGCTCGCCATATCATTTTTCCATTTCACCTAGCCCTTCATACTTTAATTCTGTCTTCATCAATCTCTTCTATTTCAAAATCAAAATAACCCATTAGATTTTATGGAATCCTTTTCACTTCTGTAGCTTTCTGCATTTTTTTAGAGCTGGTTTATCATATGTATACCAAAGACCACAATTATTTCTCTGGCAAAATGTCAAAGTTCTAAGCCTGTATTCAATATCTTGTTGTTATATACTCAGAAGGTGAATGCTTTACAATTCAAAATAGCTAAATTTTGGAATCAACTTATATGTCCATCAACAGACAGATGATTGAACAAAACATGGTATTTATATAAAATGGAGTCCGATTTTGACATAAAGAAGGATAAACTTGAGTCATTTGTAGGAAAAAGGACGCACCCTGAGACCACAGATTTTAATGAAGTAAATCAGACAACCATGGTTTCTCTTATAGAAGAAGCCCAATGTATGAACAAAGTATAAAATAAAAGTAGTAAGAAGTAGGGAGATAGGTCTTTCTTCAGCCTAACTGTTGTAGCTCAAAAATCAGATGACAACGAGGCAAGTCCAAAAGTTAAAAGAAGCGCTTTATTTTAGCTGGTACCCAGCGGCGGTCTCTATGCAAGAGTGCAAAGAGGCGCCTTGAGCATTGACAAGGATCAGTATTTAAGCTTGAAAACCGCAAAAACAGGGAAGGGGTGGAGAGGAAGAAGTGGCAGGTTTATTAGTTCATGGGGTGGTCCTATTCGGTGGGGTGCTGAAGTCAGCAATCATGGGGTACAGTGGGTCATTAGTTCATGGGGTGGTCCTGTTGGGTGGGGGTGCTGAGTTGGCAGTCATACAGAGTTCCCTGAGATAAAGTTTGGGGAACAGATATCATAAGACTTGGGTCAGGGGTGAGGAGTTGGGAGGGGTAGGCGCATACAAAACAGGAACGCGGCGAGGTTAGAAGGGCAACAAAATGGAGTCAATTTTGACAGGGTATAACACTAACGTTATCCATCATTTTCTCAGGAAGAGAAGCACAGTGAAAGTAATGCTTGATTTTTGAATGTAGTATACATTCTTTAGCATTATCAATTCATTATACTCTGTTTTCATGCACAGGAAGAAGTATTTTAGGAGGTTTCATAATGCTGCTTGTTCCCCACCTCTACTCCACACCTGAACCCAAGCCCCAGGTCCCCCAGAAGCCTCATGCATTTGGAGGTTGATTGGATCAGGAGAGTTCTATAGCTGTTAGGAGGTGGGACCTGGTTGGAGGAGAGACCTGGTTAGACGTGGGACCTGGTTGGAGGAGGAACCTGGTTGGAGGAGGAACCTGGTTAGAGGTGGGACCTGGTTGGAGGTGGGAACCTGGTTGGAGGTGGGACCTGGTTGGAGTGGGACCTGGTTGGAGGTGGGGCCTGGTTGGAGTGGGACCTGGTTGGAGGTGGGGCCTGGTTGGAGTGGGACCTGGTTGGAGGTGGGGCCTGGTTGGAGTGGGACCTGGTTGGAGGAGGGTCACTGGGATTGTCGCTTGGGAAGGTTTGCAGTGCTCTTGTCCCCAGCTTTTCCCTTCTCTCTTTCCCACGAATAGGTGACTTACTTCTGCCCAGGCCCTTCCTGTCTTGGAGCCTCCTGACCGTGAACTGAATCCCCTAAAATCCATGAGCCAAAGCTCTCTTCCCTTAAATTGTGAATGTTGGCACACATTGTATCTCTTATAAGAAAAAAAAAAACCAAAAGAAAAAAAAAAAAACAAAATAAAAGTTAGATAACAGGAAGATAGAACTACAGCAAAAGGAAAGAACAAGCGAATGAAGGAGGGAGACAGAAAGGAAGGGAAAGGGGATTTTAAAAAATTAAGATGTGTTCTGTATAGGTTCGGATTAGCCACAATGAATGTAATCATTACGTACTTCAAACATACAACTTAAACTTTAAAAAGGAAAGAAAACGGGCAGCTCTGAAAATCTAGGGTTAAGCTGCTTATTACCCCTCAGGCGAGATGAGATCAACCCCGGAAGGAAGAGCCCAGCCCACAGATCCGCAGAGCGCTCCCTCGCTCTTGGGCTCCCCTTAGGCAGGTTGGGTCGGCTCCTCGCGTCCCTCTGGTCTCCAAGAAAAGCCACGGAACCAGAACCAATCGCGATACGGCGGGCTGCAGAGCCGTCCAATCAGGTAGGCTGAGGTGGGCGGGCCCTTCCGGTGTGCGGCCAGGAGCGTCCTGCTGTCCAGCCAACTGAGCCGCTTTCTTCTGTGACTTCTGCTCGCTGCAGCAGTGCGGAAGGGCCCAGGGAGACCTCAGCAACGCCATGGTGACGTTTTGGGCCGAGAGCCGTGATATGGGGTGGTATCCGGGAGAGGCCTGGATGGAAACGGCCAGAGCCAGCCCTAAAGAGCTAGAGACCGCTGCTCAGACAGTAAGGGCCTGCGGTCTTTGGCGCCAGATCCGCTCCTGTCCCTTTCACCCTTTGCAGGAGCACAGCCTGTTCCGGATCCCCAGATCCCAGGGCAGGGCCGCCAGCCGGGAAGGCGAACCTGGGCTGCTCCAGGCCCGGTCGCATCTCCACCAGGCTGGGGAGAGCGAGGGCCTTGAGGAGGCCCAGATCCCGCTGGGTGGGCTGTGATGTTCCAGGCCCTAGTTGCGCTCTTGCAAGCAGCAAGGTCTCATACCCACATTGCATCGCCGCAGACCTCTGCTTTTTATGTTGATAATGACTTCGTAAATTTCCTATATGTATAAAGTAAGTAGGGAAGCCTGGTAGTGCACACCTCTAATCCCAGAGACTGGGGAGACAGATAGAAATATTGTAGCACTAATCCTCAATATCGCCAAATGAGGAAGACTTTCTATATGAAATACCAATTCTGGAATATGTTTGCAAAAGTAACTTCTTTAACATGCAGTAGGTCCTCCAGTACTAAAAAATTAAGTGGAAATCTAACTTTGAGCTTTGAATTTTACAGTACATGTTAATGTGTCACTGCTCTGTCAGCGACAGGACACCAGAGGTGACCAGTTAGTGATTTACAGTACAGTAGATTCAATAAATTACATGAGATATTTAATATTTTAATATGAATTAGGCTTTGTGTTACATTAATTTCTCCTAATAGAGATAAGTGTTTTGAGCAAGTTTAAAAAACCCAAGGCTTAGCAACAATGTTTGCTTATTATGTATATCCTGTACATTTTCAGTATATTTTATTTTTAACTTCCTTTCGGTTGATCAGGATATTTTTCCTTGGGGCTGGGGAAATGGCTCAGTAGAATAAGCGCTTCCTTGGCAAGCACAAGGGTCTGAGTTCAATCCCCGGTTCCACCAAAAAAAAAAAAAATTTTTTTTCCTTTGCGGGGGCCAGGGAGATAGCTCAGTAGAACAAGCGCTTGCCTGGCAAGCACAAGGGCCTGAGTTCAATCCCCAGTTCTTCAAAAAAAAAAAAAAAAAAAAAAATTAATTTTCCTTTAACTCAAGTAGTGTCTATAGACTCATTCCTTCAATTTTTTTTCATTCCTAAGAGGAAAATTTATTTCTTTTTCTTTTTTTTCCATAATTTTATTGATAAGCAATGAGACAGTTTCAAATCAAATTGGTAGGACAGTTTCAATAATTAACACATTGCATACATTCTTCCTAGTGGTTAATTGCTGTACAAGATGTGGACATGATATCCTATTCATTCCTTCAATTCTTATAAAGTCCTCTGTACAACATGATACTCAGATTATTTCCTTTTTTGAGTGTGTACCAATTAGAGCAACCAAACCAGGAAAACTGCATGATTGCTATTTAGAAAAAGAAACATAACTCTGGATTTTAGGAGGTCCACCCCTTGTTTTTCTTTGGTCTGTTTTGGGTTTTTTGTTTGTTTTATTTAGTTTTTGTATTATAAAGAGGTATTCCAATCTGGTCATACTATCTGGCTTGTGTCACCAGGAAAGGAGAATGAGATAGAAATTTTCATGAACAGGTACAAGGTTGAGCTGTTTGAACACAAGACATGAAGCATTTGCAAGGCTGAAGAAAAACCACTTCCATGCCTAATTCTAATTTATTCTGATTCTGGGAATGCTTCTAACTGCCTTAACCTTGAGTCAACTTTTGTTTTTCTGTTCTGGTTTGCCTTAATGTATTCAAGGCGTGTCTGCCAGCACTGTCACCCAAAGACTTTCCCCTTTGCAGTGATTAATGTCTCTCTGGGAAAGAGATGGCTCCGTAAGGGAAGAGTGACTGTTACCCTTGAAATTCCCTAGATGTCTCCTGGGTTTCCTGTAGTCCTTGCATGTTGGTGTCCTGGAGAAGCCCATGGGAGTGGCCAGTGGAGAAGGACACAGCTGATCCCAAGAATAGAGCTCCAGCTCAAGGCCCCTCTTAGTCTGGGCTCACATCTTTCAGAGGGCACCATCACAGAGCATCGGAGAAGAGTGTTAGCAGTTCCTATAGCTTTTGTTTGGCCGTTCTGCTTACCATTTCATTCAAGAGCTTGTGTGTTCACCTGCTTGCTAAATCTGGTTTTCAGGAGTGTTTATTTTGCACATGTGGATGTGGCTCAACATTTTTGTTGTAATCATTACAGAGCATGAGCAAGATGTAGTAGCACTTTGTGTGTTATGGTCGAGCATGTTGACCAGTGTCACACAACGTACAGGACTGCCCTTATTAGAAGTAAGCATTGGCCCCAAATATCACTAGTGTGCTTAGCCCTGCTGCAGGTGTGTATCCTTCCACTGCTGAGCCTCTGCTCTTCTGCTGGGTTATACATCACAGCTTTATGTACGTTTTTATGCTCTCTATGGACTCCAGAAATTGGTGAGCTCTGTACTTGTGCTCTGCCTCTGAGATATATCCCAGCCTCATGTACATACACTTCAGTGTGCCACAATGGAAATACATTAGAGAGTTTGTCCTGTATTTTACCAAATTCACTCTGTATTCTTTTCCAGATTTGCCTTGCTTTCTGTACATGTAACTCCAGACAAGTCTCCACTCTTTAGCTCCATAACATCTTATTTGCCGTTCCAGTTTTGGAATGGCGGCATCTCACCTTAAATATATGCTGTCCAGGCTACTACCACCTGTGAACAATAGTTTCTAATAACCAACACTGAACTTTTTCTAACTTGATAAGTTTCATAGATTTATGGTGACATTTAATTGCTTTTCATTTGTCTCTCTTATGTTTCCTTTTTTATACATTCTTTATTTCTTCTCCAACCTCCCTCATAAGTGACCTGTGTATATCATGTTCTGTGATGAACATTCTTCTTAGATAAAATCTTTTTGTTATTGTTCTCTGTATGTTTTACTTGTAGAGAATCAAAATAACTCATTGTTTTTTCATCTGATGTTGTCTTTTTTTGGGGGGGTGGAACTGGGGATTGAACTCAGATCCTTGTGCTTGCCAGGGAAGTGCTTATTCTACTGAGCCATCTCCCTGGCCCCTGATATTGTGTCTTTGCTGAGCAGAAATTCTAATTACTTTTTGTATCTTTTCAAAGTCACCTTAACATTGATGACGTTACAGTTTTATTTCTGAAATTTCCTCATTCCTAGACTAGAGGGTCATTTTTCTTATACTCTCTTCCATATTTTAAGTTATTTCATTTTTTAATCTATGTGGAATGTACCTTTCAAGTTGATGATGAAAAAATGAGAGTCGCTTGGCATATGAAATAAACTATTTTACCACAAAAAAGTGGTATTACCATCAAAATGATGAATCACATCTTCACTTTTGATCTTTACTGCCTGCCTTATATAACTGTGTTTGTTTAAAGCAAATGTATTTCTTGATATATGTCTGTGTGGTGTCTGAAGTTCAGATTTAAGTGAATGTAGCTGAATAATATGTTCCGAACAATGAGAAAGGTCATCTACTTTGTTATATGAGATTTGAAAAATGTAACATCTTTTTTTTCAGAAGGGAATCTAGTAGATGTTTGTCAAACTTATATTTTGTTTTAGTATTATAAACATAGTTATATTAACTAGATAGTATTTTGAAGAAGTTGTAGCATATAACCTGATCCACTTAAATCTGTACATTAATCTCTTGATATTCAGATTACCTTGTCCAGTTTTACTTGTGTGTATTATTCTTCTCTTTGGAGATGTTTCAGACCTTTAAAGAATTTTTTGGACTGTTTACAATAATTTTTAATAGTCTTTTTATATAACGGTTAATGGTATGTGAGATCATGTATAGGGGTCAATGACCTTGCTTTACAGTGACGTGTGAGGAGACGCTTTCTTTCGTCTTCTTCTTCTTTTTTTTTTTTTTTTGTAATTTTTAGGGAAGGGTCTCCAGGGTGTTCAGGGTCTCACTACTAGGTTGGACTCATAGTGATCCGCCTGTTTACAGCCTCCCAAGTGCTGAGATACAGGCATGCACCACCATGCCCAGTCTCAGTCAGGGTCTCAGTGTGTTCCAGGGGGTGGGGCCAGGGCCAGCTTGGCAGGCCCAGGGATCGTATCCCTGGCCCCTCTGCCTGCTTGCAGATGCTTTAATCCGCTGACCTATTTGGCCAGCCCTTTTTTTTTTGGTAGACATTTTCTTTAATATAATTATATTGACACAAACTGTGTGAGGAAGCAGAGAGGATCATCTAGTTGTCTGCTTTCTAGGCAGATTTTAGACGTATTTGTAAAAATTTTCAGCAAACTTTCTTATTAAATGTATTTTTTAAAATATAGTTTCTTCCCTATAATGTTCATCAGATCCACATGGCCTAGGAACAGGCCGGGGAGATGGCTTAGTAGAATCCTGAGTTCAATCCCCAGTTCCGCAGTTCTCAATATCTATCCCAGATTTTGTGTCTTATTTACTCTTTTAATTTCTTGCACTAGGCAGATAAGACGATGTTTGCATATGTGAGTTGGATTTATTTCACTTATGAATATGATCTCTAGTTGCATCCATTTACCTATAAAAGTGTTGAGTTTCTCCTTCTTTATATCTGAGTAGTACTCCAATGTATAAAAATACCACATCATTTTTACCCATCCTTCAGTTGATGGGCATTTGGATTGTTTCCAAGATTTAGCTATTACAAATTGTGCTGCTATAAACCAGGGTGCTCATATGTCACTGTGATGTGATATTTTTAATTCTTCTGGGAAAATACCTAGAAGGGGAATAGCTGGGTCAAATGGGACCACTAGTTTCCTAGTTTTTCAAGGAATCTCCACACTGATTTCCCCAATGGTTGTACCAGTCTACAGTCTCACCAGCAGTGAGAAGGGTTCCTTTTTCCTACAGCCTCACCAGCATTTGTTATTGGTTGATTTCTTGAGGCTAGCTACTCTTTCTGGGGTGAGATGGAATATCAATGTTGTTTTAATTTGCATTTCTCAGATGACCAATGTTATTGAACATTTTTTCATATATTTACTTGCCATTTGTTTTTCTTCATATGAGA